CCTCCCCCAATCTCTGTTTTAGTGAAATGTTCCTGATTTAATTCAAAGGGCTATAGTACTAGTAATTAAAACAAATGCCCCGAGGCATTTGCAGGGATTAAGGTTACAACGAGGTAGGCACTGTACAGTGGGAAGGAAACAAGTGCTCTCACGGATTTACAGTCTAGAGTACCACCCCAAAACTGGCACTGTTTCATTGTGTGATGCTTGTGGCTAGTAAGAGTACCTAGTGAGGTGCCCTTCGAGGACCAAATTCTTACTTTTTCTTGCACAATTTCTATTTTTCAGGTGAAATCAGATGCTACTGTGATGCTGCACACTGTGTTGCAACTGGCTACATGTGCAAATCTGAGCTTAGCGCCTGCTTCTCCAGACTGCTCGATCCTCAGAATACACATTCCCCACTTACTCATGGCTGCTTGGACTCTATTGCAAGCACAGCTGATATCTGCCAAGCCAAACAAGCACAAAACCACTCTGGCACCACCACCGTGTCCACAATGGAATGCTGTCATGAAGATATGTGCAATTACAGAGGACTACATGATGTTTTGTCTCCTTCCAGGGGCGATACTTCAGGTAGGGCAAGGAAGCTTCAGTGAAATCTCTCTTCTGGCCATCAGGCTGGTGACAGTCAAAACCTTGTACAACTGTTACTCATTTTAGTTGTTAATGTAAGTAGAGACGCCAGAGGGAGAAGCAGGTAGCAGATGCAGGGGAGCATCTCAGCTGAGTAGCTTTCCTTGTCTGCTTTAGTATTAGAGGTCTTTCTTGCCAGCTTAACATTGTATCCGAGTGGCGTTCCTAGTTAAATCAGCTATCAGGGTCAGAAATTCTCTGTTATAAACAGCCTTAGGGACTCATCTTTTTCTTTATAGGGGCATTTTCTGTAGATACTGCAGTGTGTAGCTGTGTCTCCTTTAACTTGTCAGTGTGGTGTTTTAAGAGAGGTGCTTATATATAAACTAGTTGTTGGTACTTGAAATAAGCTTCCCGTCTTTCCCCTCTGCAGGACAAGGAAGCAGATATCAACATGACAGCAGCAGGAACCTCATCACCAAGGTACAGGAACTGACCTCTTCAAAAGAGTTATGGTTCAGGGCAGCTGTAATTGCTGTTCCTATAGCTGGTGGGCTGATCTTGGTGCTGCTCATCATGCTGGCCTTGCGGATGCTCAGGAGTGAAAATAAGAGACTGCAGGATCAACGACAGCAAATGCTCTCCCGTTTGCACTATAGTTTTCATGGACATCATTCAAAAAAAGGGCAGGTGGCAAAATTGGACTTGGAATGCATGGTGCCTGTGACTGGTCACGAGAACTGCTGCATGACCTGTGATAAAATGAGACATTCAGACCTCAGCAATGATAAAATTCTTTCACTAGTCCACTGGGGAATGTACAGCGGACATGGGAAGCTGGAATTTGTATGACCAATTATTTTTTAATCTGAGCTAAACTTACTCTATGAACTCTTGAAGGCCTTTGGGTTCTGCTGGACAGGAGCACTTTATCTTAAAACAAAAACTCTCATAAATCATCTTTGAGAAACAAAGGACCTCTGCAAACAGAATCTTGGATATTTCTTCTGAAGGATTCCAAAAGTTGTCTTATTTGCACAGAGTAAAATACACTCAAATGTATTGTTTGCTTTAAAGTTATGAAAGCAAAAGTTAGAAGTTGTAAACACTGTCACCAGGGTTATCTGAACTGTAGGGAGCTGAGAACTGAGTTATTATAATAAACTGTATGTAAGCTCCTATGTTTCCTGACTTATTGTAAAGATTTTTTTAAAATATATATATATTTTGTCTGAAACTTGCTTGTGACTTTTGTTTTGGAAAACATTTTTTGGGGGGTGGTGGCAGGAAACAAATCAAGGTAGTAGTATGCATGGTAATGCTGTGTGTAACAATTAGGATTCTGAAAAAGGAGTCTGTTTTCCTACTCTGTGAGGGAAATTAGGTGGTTATTCCAGAACGAAGGTGACGGCTTTATTGTTTAATACTTCAAGTAGCAGTGAACACACATCTTCAATTCTTGGCTCTTGCTTTTTGCTCATAACCTCAGTGAATTCTTCTGCAGCTTTGTGTGATAACTATTTCTTCTCTCTCTGTTAATGAAGAAGTGCTTCCTCTGTGCAAACCATGTCAGAAAGTGGCTCTTAATTCCTTATAGCTGGTTTTTCCTCCCTTGTCTCAGTTTTTCTTTTCTGTGATCTTTTTTCTTTTGTACCTTTAACACTCAGATTTTTTGGGGGAGGGGGAAAGGGGAGGGAAACCCCAAAGCCACACTGCCTATTCTGCTGTGTATATATTTTTTTTTTCTTGCTGACAAGCCCTCTGAGCACAGTGGAAAACATCTGCCTTGCTCTTTTATAGCACAACTCAGTATCACATGCTGCTACTTTTGTGGGGGACCAAAGAATCAGCAGTGTACTCCCTTTAATCTCTGGCTCCTCCTTCATGCTATTCTTGCATAGGTGGCTTTTCTTCCCTGCCAGTATTCGTGCAATTGGTTGTTTCTTACTCCTTCAGTTAGTTGGCTTCACTTGATCATTTTATTTATTCAATGCCTAGTTGCTAAAAACAAACAAAACCTCTGGATTATCCAAGGAGCTTACTGTATTTATTTTTCTTGCTTTATTAGGCTGTGTTGCAGTAATTAAAGTAGACTTGCTTAAAAGGCAGATGCCACACCATGGTGAAACAAGGGTCCAGAATGCTGCTGCAGGAGATAAAAGTTGGCAAGAGTCACCTATATATTCATTTATATTTTAAATAGCTTTAGAAATGCTTCTGCCTCCTCTTCTGACTGTAAAGTTGAGCTGCTGCTATTGCCACCAGTGAAAAGAGGATGGCGCAAAGGGGGTTGCAACAGCCTGACAGCAACGCTCTGCTCTTGTGTGCTGCTTGCTATGGCAGATTTCGGGCTGCATATCCCAAAGCAAAGCAAAGGGCTGCAAGCAATGGAAACCTGCCCCTCTGGGTCACAAGTTGGTGTTCCTGAAAATGCACTTAAAACTATGTGGTAGGCTTGTTGGAGATGGGTTGGTCACTTGGGTGTGCGAACAAAGGCATGGATATTGCAAACTTACCCACGCAATTAAATGCTCGTACTGGCCAAGTGCAGCGAGACCCTTGGGAATGCCAAAGTCCCACCGTGCCCATGTGCACAATATTAAAGTGTCGCTTAGAAGGATTGGTTTCGTCTGTGTACCTCAAGCTGCTGACTGCTCTTCTTCAAAGTGCCTAGAGAGTTGCTTTTAATGCAGAGAACTACATTCTCTGATTTCTACCTTTTTCTGCTGCTAAAGTTTAAGAAACTACGTGGCTGCAACTGCTGTTGGAATCTGGCCTGTGGTCTTCTGGCTGACCTTTCCAAGGGCTGCTTTCCTATAAGAGCTCTGCCCTTCCTTTGCACTGATCTGAAAGTCTAGGGCAGTTGTCTGCTCTGCCAAGTGTATTATTTCTGGGAATGACTGCCTTGGAACTCGGTGCTGAAAGATACAAACCTGAAATACTGTCTGTCAGGCATAGCTGCACCCGTAGTTGCGATGACTAGACAAGTTGGAAGATCTGATGGCTAAACCTTTCATGTGCTTTCTTCAGAAATCTGAGGGAGCATGCTGTATAGTCATTTAAGCATCCTGTGACCTTCATCACTCATTTGCTGCTGATTTGAATTCATAAGGGCCTACTTATGCTTGCCATTAAAAGGCTAGTAAGACCAGGATGCTCTAATTGGCCCCTTGCTGTGGAGATCTTTTAAAGAAGAAAAGAGATTGTTTGCCTTCCCCTGCAGTCCTGGGAGCAGGGCCACAGAATCGCTGGGTATGACACTCGGGTTAACACCTATGGTCTCCTGGGACCGTTCTGTTACCTGGTGTGCTATGTATAGTTTAGGTGTGGTAGCTCATACAGCTTAGAAGTTTCTGGGTTGTGAGTCTTCTAAGGATGAAATCTGGATTTCCAATTTATTTTAAAGCCCGTATATTCAGGAAACTATGTTATGAGCTCTGGTGTCTTGTCTGGCAGCAGTTATGTGAGTTATGGAACAGGCCCCAAATCTTTTCACTGAAACTACTGACTGCAGAGTCCGAAGGGTGTTGGAGCAAGCAGTAGCCATCTGCATCCCTGGTAAGTATTTCTGTAGTGGCTGCTTATATTACCTGCAGACCTCAGCAACACCAGCTGTCCATTATGCTTTTTAGAAAACCTGTATTCCTGGGACAAAGAGGAACCTTAGTGACGTTCCATGGGCTTTCCAGCTGCTGGGTGCCGTACTGGCATGGAACAAGGCAGTCCTAGACACCCACTGCATGAGACTTAGCCAGGCAGGGAATGAACATCAGTAGCTGAAGAGCCTGGCCAGAGGGTGGAGGCCGAAGAGGTGAGGCAGTAAGCAATGGCTATCCTTCTAAAATGCTTTTGATTTAAGAGCCTGGATTTGACATTGTGCTACGCACTCTCAGATTTCCGCTGCAGACAATAACAAACGCTGCTTTCTTTTAAACCCCTGCAAGCCCCGGAGCATAAGGACAACCCTCTCTCTGTTTCTAACTGAAGAAGTCTTGTGGATCGGAAGAAATGAAATCAAACATCCAAGATGTAATTTAGCATCCCCTGTGCCCCTCTCTTTTCCCCCATGCCCCTCTCTTTCCCTGACTCTTTCCTCAAAACAATAATGGTTGTGGCTTTTCTTATGTCTCTGCTTCTCCTGGCTTTGAGAGCCTCTGGGTTGGTATGTCTCCTCTTAACTCCTGCTGAACTGATTCTATTAAACCCCCCCCTACACCACAGGGGGCTTGACCTTTTTCTGAAATACCAAACGCGTCTGCTTTGGAAATCACAAACTTCTCCTCCTCTAAAGAGCTTGTAAATCTGGTTTCAATATTGGGTGATTACAGGCTGCGCGGAGAGCTTGAAAGTAAGCAGCCACTTCTGGTAGCAGAGTACTGGAGCTGGGCTGCCTGAGCTGAGCTACGACTCTCATTTTTCACCCTAGTGTGTGTTTAGCCTGAAGCTACTGACGCCAGCAGATTCACCCCGGATTAGTGGTCTGGTGACTGTCCGGGCTCTGGTCGCAGGACAGTTTACCTTCTCTTATCGAGACCCTGGAATCCAGATTTTGTTGTACAACCACTTGCTTTGTTGTAAATCCAGAGATCTCATTGCAAGTGGATGCTGCCCTGGAGGGCAAACACCCAGAAAAGCCTGGGGAGAGAGCAAGGTTTTTCCTTAGGTGTAACGGATGCATCTGCACCTTCCCTTGCTGCTGTTGTGATGGTTAAAACAAGGTATGAACAGGCGAAATATATCACCAGTCTGACTCTGTGGGATGGGACGTGCCTGTTGGCTACCGGTCAGTGGGGTTCCACAGTGAATAAATGAAAGCAAAATTTAGCCTTCTCGTTGAAAAGGATGGGGATAAGAAGATTATCTCCCAAGGAAAAAAGATCTATGGTCAAAAATAGACCTTCATAATAAGGCACAAGTTGAGTGAATAAAAGAAGGAGGTCTCTGAAGGAGGCAGAGTTGTCTTTATTTCTTTTTTTCAGATGCTTTGCCATGTGAAGATCAATGCAGTCATGTTTGTTTTTTTCCAGTGGCTGGTCACTTTGGAGGAAAATACTCTTCTTGTTTTCATTCTAGGAGTTACTGGGAGAAAATGGTATTTTGGATCTGACACTGTATTTTATTTCTGGAAAAAAAAGCTATTGAGAGGTGCTGTAAAATTATGGTTATCTCTTGGGAGGGGCCCAGTGTCTCCAACGTTATGAATTCTGTCTCCCTCTAAATAAACAACTAACCTTGTTTTCTTTGTTTCACCTCTAACCCTCGTCTGCAGCCTTTACAATCCCAGGGGGTGAATCCTGAAGTAAAACAAACTGCAAGGGAAGGAAGCCAGGAGGGAGCCGCAGTGCCTGCAGATTAACAGAGCCTTCTGCTCTCCAGCCAACCTTGACAAAAGGATTCAATCCTGAGCTGACCTTCAGGGGGAAAAGCAAATCAAAACAAATCCCACCCTGACTTGAACTTTCAAGACCGTAGGAGTTTAATGCCGAGTTTGATGTCTCCTGAAGGGAGCAGAGAGTTAGAAACACTGAACACCTGTCTTGCAAACCCAAATCCTAACAAGTTATCAGGAAATCTGAGCCCCGAATCAAAATTTACGGTGAAAAATTTAGGATTTGCTCATCACTGTTTCCAAGTCATCCATTGTTTCTAAAGGGGCCTAAAAAATGTGCTTTTTCTTTCTTCTAGGCAAATATATAACATCCAGTTAAGCAAAGAGTAAGTTCTGTTGAAACATCCATATTTAGATGCAACTTTTCACTGAATATTTTGGCCTGGAAGTAGGTCCTACCACACAGCCCAGCCCTGCCCTCTTCCCTGTAGGCAGGAGGGAAAAGGTAAGTCAGCCCTGACTTTGCAAAAAAAGACACTGTCATGAATTTAGGGTGAGACTTCCTTTTTTAAGAAACTTTTATTAAAACTGAATTTTTCTCTTGCTAGTTACTACATCAACGACTGTGTAGTTGGGGAAAGCCAGTGAAATGTTATTTCCCTCCCCTTTGCTCCCGGCTGCATTTAAAAAACATTGATTTGCGACAGCTTGTTAAGAACAGAGCCCTTTCTTTAATCTCGTTTTTACCTATTAGATTAAACTTTCAGGAATAGTGTCTGTGGAACAGCAGGGGGATGAGCAGTTGCCTTTTAATTACTTTTCCATTTTTAAAAGGAGAGCAACCAAAAAAAGGTAGAGGTGCTATCATGATGAACTTTTAGCATCTGTCTGTGGGCAGAGGCTCCAGA